ATTAGTGTCAATTTTGAAAGGTTGGTTTATAGTTAGAAACCATTTGGATTAATGGCCACTCACACTGATATATCTTGACCCATTCACACCGCTGGTCAGTTTCCTTAATTTGTGATATTGAGTACATGCAGAGGATTAAACCTTATATGTCAAATTAATCACCCAGTTACAAGTGCCAACAAACATTTATTCCTCTCTAAATATGTTGATTTTTGTGTACACAGATCAGTACAATAAAGTTTACTGTGTAATGACAAAAACAACATACATAAGTAGCCAATGTTCCAAAAATAAACATCTATAATTTTTGTCTTGCCAAATATCATTGGAATATTAAATATGTCATTAATTTACCCCAATCACTCGCTGCAAAAATACTTTGGCCTGAGAAGTATTTGTTGAAAACTTCTAACAAAAGTACAGCTACAAATTCAATACAAGTTCGCTTTATATCAAATTAATTTTTACCTTGTGATTTTTACTTATTCTAAAATACCTATGAAATTGGGGAGAATACAATGTTTTTAACAGTCTTATGATGTAAAACACTTTTTTACGACAAAAAGTAATAAACTGCTGACAAATACACTTTTTTTTTCTTCTATTCATTATCACAGTACCACTTCCTTTGTCAGTTTCAAGAATTGTAATATAAACAAAGTAACAGAACATTTAATAATGGGAGAACCCTGATAAGTAACATGAATGTCAGGGTTACACTATAATAATTTTGGCCATAAAATACACAAGATGGGTAAAGAAAACGGAGAGATCTCTGGACAAACTTTGATCTAGCAAGAATATGTAGTTGATTTTACCGGACAAAGGAACCTGTACAGTGATTACAAATATAATTGTCCATATTCAATATTTCTAACGGGCCAAGCGTGTTAAAATGTAAGAAACTCCAAGTTATCGATAGATGTATGTTCCGGAACTTTAATAATCTCGTAATATAAAACAGTCGGTACAGTTTGAAATCGAATAACATTCTAAAATGTGTAAAATACTAAATCCGTAAACCAACATGCCGTTACCGTTTAAATAACAAATTGAATACATTTCATTTATGCTTCTGCTGTTTACAAAAAAAACATTGCTCTATGCTCTACCTTTCCCATATAACGAGTCTATATTTCTACATAAAAAATAAGAATATATATATATAAGCTTTTCCCACAAAAAGTATCATTAAATTTCCATCAATTGAACACTTCTGTTCCCAAATTGAAGCACGGTGATTTAAAATGGTAACTTGTTCACATACATAAACGTTTGCAAAACTGAATTACATAACAGTACTTCAAATTAATAGCCATAAAGTTTTCAAACTAGCTGAGAAAACTCCATTAAAACTATGTATTAATAATGTATTAACTACTTGAATTATTGGTTTCCTATCAAAAAGACACAGTACTGTGTATTAAGGTGGGCCATAACCGAGTGTTTTAACATATAATATCCACAGTTAAAAACAAACCTTTCAGAACAATATTTTCTTTCATGTCTTAAAAGCCTACATGTATATGTTTATTATAAAATAGCATTAATTATTAAGCTTTAATTAATAAGAGAACTTGTATATATATGTACAGTTCTACTTGTTCATACAAGGTGTTTCAGCATACAGCTTTAACTGACTTTAATATATATACAAATATCAGTTTTATCTGTTAGGTGCTCTTTGATATTTAGAATATGTCACTGCACGATTGCTATTAGTAGAGAGGTTGGAAATTTTACTGACTTGGAACTTTAGTTGTCATTATCTAATGATTATGGTTGAAGCCTAGAGTAACCTGATGTCAACTTTTGTTGGAGCCTAGAGTAACCTGATTCAACTTTTGTTGTCATTATCTAATGATTATGGTTGAAGCCTAGAGTAACCTGATGTCAACTTTTGTTGTCATTATCTAATGATTATGGTTGAAGCCTAGTGTAACCTGAGTAACAAATATTAACAATACATGAGAAAAGATGGCCCTTTATAGATTCCTAGGTATACCACTATAGGTTTATACCACAGTTATAATTAGTAAACTTGACCCACTAAAACCAGTAGTGGTCACACATGACCAGTGGTCAATAAATTTACCTTTGGTACATTATGATACTTATGTTTAAAATTGTAATTAGATGTACCTGCAGATTATTGGATGCTTCTTGACAAAATAAAAACCTCTAAACAATCAATACAAAAACACTAACGGACAAAAAAAAGTACATTAAGGATGTGAAAAAACAAACAAGACAATGCATGTACACAAGTAAGACATTTTGGTATATAACACTGAAATTCTAATCATTTGTTTTATTAAATGGGGCTTCACTCCAGAAATTTTGAGACCAGTGATATTATAGTTTGTGTATGGAAGGCATGACTGCTGTTTTTTGGTACCCTTATCCCAAGTTAGGGTTGACCAGTTTACTCTTGTGGGAGTTAGAAGAAAAAGAGGTAAGAAATAATCATTATTACTGTAACGAGTGGAAAACTTGATAATTTACTAAGATTTCTGTTTCCACTTGTACATTGTCTCACTCGTTTCTTTTCATCTTCGTAGCCTTACTGTACCTTTTGTTCATTATTACTGTAACGAGTGGAGAACTTGATAATTTACTAAGATTTCTGTTTCCACTTGTACATTGTCTCACTCGTTTCTTTTCATCTTCGTAGCCTTACTGTACGTTTTGTTCGTTAGGGTTTTTGTACTGATAATATCAATACATTATTTAATTTTCCACTCCATATAAAGTTTAAAAAAGATAATACATATTTATAATTCAAATACAAAAAGTTTTTCTCTGTTGATAAAATGGAATATTTAAAATCTTAAAAATTTAACTCCCAAATAATCTCTGAAAAAGAAATGACTGCTTTCTGGGATTACTCATTGAGTCCAGTTTTTTGTTTAATGGTTTATCTTTTTCTCAGGCTTTCTGGCATACCTAAAAATTCCAGGATTTTTCCTAACATTTTATTCAAATTTCAAAAATGTCACGAATTATATACCATAAACTTCCAGGACTTTTCACCAGTATTCAGGTTCTGTGACATGATTTTGTTGATACTTTTGTCAAAGACTGGTTTACAGTTATCAGTGATAGTAAACTTAACAAGTACTGCAAATACCTGTATTTATTTTATGTATAATGTCATTCATATCCTGCCACTGTAACTACTTCTTGTAGACATTGTAGTCAATTGTTTGATTGACATGGTCATATTAGTAGAAACGCTGAATGTTTAGAACATGAGATTTAAAGACTGGTTAGTTCCGAGTCTTCATTTTCGTGCGTCTATATTTTGACGTACTGCAGTCCAAGCCAAGTGCATCAATTTGAAGAGGTTAATATAGAAATGCATTTATCAATTCACTGCACCTGTTACAAAGTAATATTGTATTTGAAGACTAAGACATCATTTATTAAGCCAGTAACAGTGGATTACTAAACACTGGTGTATTAAAACCATAATTCTACACGTTGATGAGAAGTGTATTTTGACACTTAGAATATACACTATTGATATATTAGTAATCAATTAGCATAACTAAGGGGGGGGGGCAGATGTGGATTTGTTCTTAATATTGTGTTGCTTATAATTAATTGTAGAATTTTCCTTGCTTCTAGTTCAGAAGTTAGTACGAAAATTACTACAGTATTATGAAAGAATATTTCTAGATGTTACACTCTTCTTCGTGTACCTAAACAGTTTACTATAATATTAATTTCAAAGCCTGCATTGTGGCAGCATGGTATTCCAGGTTGAACAATGATGGTTGCCAAAAAAAAAAAAAAAGTTTTAAATTCTTTTAGGCACCAAATAAACACTGGAATGGGTATCGCGCAGCAGCTTGAACGATCTGACTTGTGAGTAACGTCACGTAACGGTAACAATGCTCATCTATTAGGTATGTTACTTCCATTTGTTTGGAATCACATTAAGTTTGTGTCTCTAGATACTGGTATACGATCCACTTGCAAGAAGTTTTTACACGACGAAGCTAATTATTCCTCAGAGTTTCTGGTACAGCTGCTAGAAAGCCTGATTTGACACGCATGATGTCTTAGTAATACCAATCAAATCCTCTTATCTATTTTACAATGAAGTCAATGATGATGATACCATAGGAATATTATTATAAACAAACCAATTTTCCACATTTTATATATCAATACAACTGATAATAGTGAGATGTCGTGACAAACAAAATGTGGCGAGCATTACTGGATAAGTTGCTAAACATTTATGTATGTTATTTTTTTTTCAAAATAAACTTTTAATAAAATTTCTACATACACAGAAATGTAATATTAACAATAATTTCTTTGGGAAAAAAATAAAACAAAATATTCATGAATAATTTTCACGTATTTAGAAAATGGTTTGCCTTAACTACGTATCAGACCACAAGGTGGAGAATTCAAGAATCTATCACTGCACAATAACAGAATGTGGAAAATAAAGATTAAAATACACATACATATATACACACACACAGTAACACAAGCTGGTAAGAGTCATTACAGCCTGTCTCATAACAATTCAAGAAGCCTTGGTTGGATTGTCAGTTTCAAAAAAGTGTAAAATATATCAAACTATTGAAAAAAAAAGGGGGGGAAAGCAAATGCAATTTACATAGTAAATTAAAAACCTAAAAAATTGCATTATATTACAATTTTGAGTCCTAAATATTTCAGAAGTGGTATACTGAAATGCAACTTAATGTTTTTTACTTAGAGTGTTTATTTGACCAAATGCATGTTAAAACTCGGTTGGAGGAGCACAACTGTGAAATCATTATACATCCTTCTCTTTGTCAAGAGAAGAGCTGGTAAAATCACATTAAAAACAGAAATCTACTTTTAAAATATTATAAAAAGGGTTAAAGTTACAGCTAGCTATAAAAAAATGTTTCACCTGGTAGATGAAGATGACATTTTTTTTTCATTTTCATCTTATTTTAACTGGTTTAGTATATCCTTAAAATGGTGCATCTGAATTAGTTTCAACTTAAAGACACTTCACGTTCCGTCGGTATTTTAAATATCTATATTATAAAACTGATAGTTCTGTGGGAAAAAATAAAGCAGTTATACACTCTCTCTCTCTACTGAAGAATACTTCCCCCAATATTAATTTCTATCTTGAATAAATGGACTTAGTTCTATTTTATGAGTCTATGTTCAAAAACTTAGAGCAGAGACAGTAAGGAGTTAAGACCGAGAACTGTTACAAAAAATGTGTCGTAATATTAATTTACTTAGATGAAAAATGTTTAAAAAGTTATATACATGTTCATTATATTTGTTTGAAGAAATCAAGTAATTTTGTTTTTCAGAAACTAAAGATTCAAGGGTAACAATATGATATTTGGTTTTGTAAAACATGATTTTAACATGGGAATTACACATCTAACAAACAATGTCTTAGGTTAAAACAAATGAGTAAAACCTAAAAAAGCTACCTATATATATATATATATATATATATACAATGTAATTCAAAAGTAACTCTTGCTTCCTCTATATCTTGTATGACGAAAGACTTATCACAAAGATATGGTCCAAGATTGTTACAAAAACGGTTTCATCTTTTTGCTACGGTCAAATGATCGAACATAACTACGCACTTACTAATCAACATTTCTGCTACAAAGTTAAAAATTATATTTAACTAAAATTTTTTTCTTCTTGTATGAAAGAAGATGCAATTGAAACAGTGTCAAATAAACTTAAGGCCATCCTAAATGTATATATATATATATTTAAACATATATAGAAAAAAAAAAAGCTAAGACCTTTAACAGTACCTCGACAGAAAGCAAACTTACACTAAAAATTCTTTTTTTTTGTTTGTTTTTACCTACTAAAATAACAAAACAAAGAAGAGCGATTCCAAAGCAGCGTGATGATGTTCCTCAATGTACGGCAGGATTCCGTTGAAGGATGGGTTAATCGGGTGGAAGAAAACTAGCTAAATGGTACTTGTTGCAGATGTGTGGCCGAACATCTTGATTCTGCAAGTTGTTATACATTAAGGATCAGTAATACTTGATGACAGATTTATCCTTTATTTTACCCACTTATATATACAAGTATTGACAATACTGTTTTCATTCAACCAAATATTTACAATGTATCGTAACAATGAAAAGGATAACTACATAGGCCTCGAAGCTTCTACCATCGACAATATTTTATTTAGTGGCCCTTGTTATAGACTGAAGTCGGTGTTATCCCTCTCCTTTTTTTAAATGCTTTCAAACTAAACATGCACGGATGACAACGTCCAAGAACCCAAAGGTAATGTAACTGGAATGCTTGAGAATTGTAGAGCATGAATTACCATTTGTACTTTCATATTACGAAGGAACTGTTGGGTTGAAATGGACATGTCACTTGATGAAGAAATACCTTATTTACAACTAGTATTTACTAATGTTATAGTGGTGTTAGCTTTCCCCTTAGTATTCTACTTGACGCACCGGATGTTTAACTTACCACTGTAGCTGTAAATCTATAAATAATGGACATGTCACTTGATGAAGAAATACCTTATTTACAACTAGTATTTACTAATGTTATAGTGGTGTTAGCTTTCCCCTTAGTATTCTACTTGACGCACTGGATTGTTAACTTACCACTGTAGCTGTAGCTTGTAAATCTCATTAAGAACCCTTTTCATCATGCCCTGTATCATGTTTTATCTATAATCATCGTGACAATACATTTCTAGTTCTCACCTGTTGGTTTTTTTTTTTTTCATTTGGTTAACAGAAGTTCATAAACGTGAGTTTCTGTATCGCTTACGTAACCCTAAATCTGTGTGAATTATTTTGTTTATATCTCCCACAGAGTATCCTGCATTAGCTGCAATGGATTACTTCCATTGACAACCTGTAGAGCTTTCTTTGGTACCTTAAGTTCGTGACCCATAAACAGGTTTGGAGAAGCTTATTTTTAGGCTTTTTACGAGCGCTCCACAGAAAGGTAGGAATAAAGCGTGGATTTTCAGTCACAAAATATGACAGACGATGAACGGAAAGCACATATATGTATATATATTTTAGCAGGAAGCAAAAGCATAAAATCTTAAGCTGGTTCCATCACGTTTTTTTAGCCTGAAATATATGCATAAAATTTTACAGACACAGAACTAAAAGATAAAAAATGCCTTCATCTCATTATTCTACATACAGAACTTGTTAGATGTTCCATAAACTAACTGTAAATTCAGTGTTGAATCAAAGATTAGCAATTTCTTTATTCAAGGAAATTTAATTTGTTTACCATCAGCTGTATGCTTGCAGTGTTCACTGTTAAATATCAAACAGAGAAATATTGTAACTTTAAAAGTTGATTAGTACTACAGCCAATATACAAAACAAAGTTGTATTGGACATTAATCAAACCACAAGTAGTTTTAAGATTTTAATCCTGATGAGTGAAATACTACATTAACTAAGAGTGGCTACAACTAGCATACTAAGTAAGGAGCCATTGCAAAGAACTCGTAGTAAGACTTTTAAATTGCTCTTATATTTAAATTATTCTTAGCAAGGAATAACAAATTCTAAAATTTCTACCCTTTAATAGCTATTGTTGGTGTTTTCATAGTGCAAAGCTACACAATGGGCTATTTTCACTAACCTGGGGGGAACAAACCCCTAGGTTTTTGTCTGTAAACTCTCCCCTGGTGGATCAGCAGTTTATTTAATCACACAAAGTGATCATCAGTGACTGTATGGTCACAGATTTTAATTACATACAAGAAAACAAGCTATAATCAGTAAAAGCCCATTCGTACAATGTACTGTACACTAGTGAAAGTACCTAGCTTTGCTCAGGTTATTAGGTTGATATATCCTACATGAATATGTCAGTTTGTGTATTCTGAACCTATTTCAACATCCCACAGGTGGACATAGTCTTCAACTCGGAGCTTCTTTTAGTTTATGCAAATGTATTGCAGCCTTTCTGTTTCAATTTTATGACAAATATAAATCACAGACAAACAGATTAACAACTTCTAATGTATAGAAAAGTAAGTGCATTTTAGTAACAATGCGTTCCAACAATGGCTTTTATGTCATGTTGCTTAGCAACAAAAGTATAACCTAACATTGTTGATAGTCCATGTCTGTCTGTCTGTGATTTATATTTATAATACAAGGAACCACTTCTTTTCTATGTGTTTTTTTGCTAACTTTCCTCATTAAAAAAGATGTGCATGTGTGGATAAGATAAATAATAATACCCAGGTGCACACCCTCAAGGTCCACTCAGTATGTGTGTAAAATTTCAGGTTTCTAGGTGCTTTCCTTTTGAAGTTATGGTGGTCACAGACATGCCCTTTCATTATTATAGACAAATGGAATTGTCATAGCCCAGGGAAAAAAGTAACTGGCTAAATAACTTGTTACCACAAATTGTGAACAAATCTCTATACCTACTACATTTTTTTCTTTAAAATATTCTTTCCATAGAATTAACAATGGACATGAACTGCATAAGTAATTAACACATTTTTACCCTGCATGAGCTTATAATGTTAGCAGTATCTACATTTTTCAAGTGAAAACCCCAGAAATCAATGTAGCTTTAAAACAAATTACAGTAATACAATTGAGGCTTAAAACCTATTTACTAACCATAGCAACAAGGCTTTCAAGAAAGGGTATCAACTTCAACAACTCTTTGTCATTTCTGTCAACAAACCAACTTTCAATGGGGATTCCATTTTCAAGCTAGAAGGAAGAGGATGCAAGTGTTATTCAAGCAAAGAAAAATTAAACTGATAAATATTAAATTTTTAGAATGTTCCTAAAAGTACTTTTTTTTTGTTAATTAGCAGTTATATATCAAATGGTGTTTATACGAATCAACACACTGTCAGGCTGATAAATTAAAGATTATTATGAACTGGTTTTATAAATAATGACTACATCTCTTTGACTTATGAACATGTTATTAGGAAAACAAAACCACAGGTAACAACAAAAGAGATGTGCACAAAACACACCCAAACTCTGATTGATAAATATTAATACCTTTCAACAGATATCTTTGTTGATCATTAGGGCTGTCATGTGACAGTAAAACTTATTCGTCAGCTGTTTTCTTTGCTAGTAGGATGAAGAATACTTACTCTCTTCATTAGTCTTTTTAGGATATCCAGAATCGGTGTTACAATACCGAATACATACTGCTTAACTAATGCAGTTTAAAGTTAATATGTTACATTAAAAATGTCCCGATTACAATGTCTGACCTTGCTACACATGAAAGTTCTCCTCATTTGATGCTTAATTATAATAACTCTGATTGTACAAATTGCTGTCAACCATTTTAAACCTTTCCACATGGGTCAAAGGCCATGTCATTGCATTTGTTGACTCGCATTTAAAATTTTATTGAACTACTGTTTTATGAATTTATGTCATTAAGTTTGGTATCAAACTGTAGATTATAATTCAAATATTAATGTGAGGCATTATTTAAAAGTAAATATTAAAAAAACAACACCTAAACATCGATTTTTGTGTGTCACATGGTATGTTGAATGCAGCACTGGTTCAAATTAGATGTTTGTGAAGTCAAAATACTAAGTCTATAGTTTCATACGAATTAGGAACTCAAATTACCGATATTGAAAACTAGAATATAAAATAAGAGCCTCCTATCTATTCTATTTGTTGAGATATCTCTCATGTACTCAATCAAATGCAGTGGCCCCACTCACCTCTTTCCATTTTTGAAAATGGTCCCTTATATATACATACTTCTGTATATGACATGTGAATAACCAATTGAAAGCTCAGAATGCCCCCTAGTGGCTTTCTCAGCCATTCTGAAATATAACAGCACTATCTTATTCTTTTTCGATACAAGATGGCATAGAGGTAAGTCAAGTCTTTAGTCTGCTCGAAATTTCATATTCTTTTAAGTCCAAATACAGCTTAATTACTAAAATTCATAAATTATAATTGAGTACTATGGTATTGATATAGTAATTTATGATTTTTTGGTTATTCAAATGTATAAATAAAACCAAAAACAAAATTCCTTTCATGCGAAATTTCTTAAGGATTAGCAAGCTACGACAAGCAGCAACCGAGTACAAAGGTCAGAACTAGCAGTGATAATTGTTAAGATAAAAATTTCGCATGTGAATTTTGAAAATTTTCTGACGCATAAAAGTATCTTAATCTTAAAATGAAAATTACTTTGCATGTTGGATAGGCAACATGTGAAAAGAAAAAAAAAGGCATGAGAAAAGCATTGCTTTAGAAAAAATCAAAACTAAATATCTTATTTTTCAAAAACTACATACCTATAGGACCTTTCATCTTAAATTTAAAAGAATTTCATCTACTAGTTTCATTTTTATAAAGAACTATTACGAGAGTGAGTTACATATCTACTTACAGTGTTAATAGGTCATAGTTGAAGGGTTATGGCTGAGAGGTAAACTACTGGCAGGGCTTATAAATTTCTTTGTGCAGTCACGGATAGCTATAAGTGATGTCGGATCGCACTTGCCAAGACAAGAGAAAAAAATTACAGACTCTATTCAACTGTTTGTTTTGTAACTCATTAAACATTCCTGGTCATAATGCTCATACTGCTACAGCTTTTATGAAACATCAAGGTCACCACACTGGAGCATAGCAATTAAGTTGTCCTTTCTAATGAAGCCACATCAAAGGTCGTACTGGGATCTTTGATATTAATGGTCTTCCCTTACAGATTGTAATATATTAAAGTTAACTTAAAAACTATAAACTAATGAAACATTTCTTTTGTTTAATTGCACTATCTGTTTTTTTTTATTCATACCTGATAACCAAAAGCTTGTGGTGAGTTATCCACAATAACAGTTTTAGAGAGATCACGCCCCAGAATGCTCAGATCTTTGATGTAGTTTCCACTGATACAGACGCAATGCTCCCTGAAGAGTCTAAACCTGTAATTGTTCATACAATAAATTAAAAATAACGGATTTTAGAAGTTGAGTAAAGAATAAAACAAACATTTTTGTAACTGAATATGTGTTTACACTGGATACAAAGTTGAAGACACTTAATATAAAAAAGAAAGTGTAGTTAGTCTTTGAAACATGCTACTTCTACTTTATTTTCTAACAACACAAAAATCAATGCTCACTTTGCTTTTTTTATGATTTTCATATTTGAATTTTAGTTTTTATTGGGGTCAGTCCAATAGCCCACAAAAGACTTAGTTATTGATCATAAATTCATAATGATTGGAAGGTTACAAAAACCAGATAAATCACGATCAGAAAAATGCAATAACCAGAGTGACTTCATTGGAATTATCGGTCTTTAACTTTATTTAAAAAAAAAAAGTTCTTCAAAACTACAACATAGAAAACAATCAGCAGTCAACAAACATTATGAACAATACCAGTCATCATAAGATATAAAATTCATTTATAGCCTAAAACATGCCAGTACCATCCAATTCTTCGTCATATTGCTAATTTAAAAACTATTATACATGGAACATCTGTATATCGTTGCCTATAATGTGTAATTGAGTAGGTACATTACAAAAGGAATAAATGCTTATTATTCTTTTAAAAGATTTAGATGAATCATGATTCTACAAAACAAACACACTCTTAAAACCATCTTTTCACAAGATCCCGTTTACTTCAAATATATTATCAGCTAGCTGAACAAAAACATCAATCCACTAGGGGTTACTTGGTGTGTGTGTGAACCTACTTAATGTTGCTGTTACACATTTTAGGACCCACTGTTGTTAGGTTTACACTTAATTTCTACAGGGATACATTAAATTTGTGAATAATTGTTAATCTTGTGTTATGTTCCCTTCACATCCCGAGTAATAGTGATGTAAGAATACCAGATTATAGTAGCACTTACTAAAAAAAAACTATAATGTTTATACTCTAGTTTTATATAACATTGAAAATCCTAAAAAAATAAAAACTAGAAAGGTTATCTTACTTTATTAATTTTCTGCCAGGGTCTAGCAAATTTAACAATTTATCGGCATACACTTTTTTAGATGCTGTGAAGAGGATAACCTCAAAAATCTTGGAAACACGCTCTAAAAACTCTCTAAAAAATGGTCTGGTGCGAACGTAAACCTGAAAAAGAACGAATGTGATACTTTATTACAATTTTAACTTCAGATCAAAATTTTCAATAAGTTTGAGCTGAAATGGAGTAAATTAAAATGTTTTAAAAGCAATAATTACATAAGTAAAGTGAATTAAAAAGGTTTTGTGCGTACCCTTTGCAGAATAACCTGGTAACATAATCTCAGTTACACAATCAGATAAAACTTCAGTCAGTCTACAAGTAGTGATTATAATAACACGCCTTTACTCAGATCATCAAATCAACATGTTGTTACTCTCTCGTGTCTGTCTTTTTTCCCCTCTCTTTACAATTTCTAAAACCCGGCATGGCCAGGTGGTTAGGGCACTCGACTCGCAATCTGCGGGTTCGATTCCCTGTCACACCAAACATGATCGCCCTTTCAGCCGTGGGGGCGTTATAATGTGACGGTCAATCCCACTGTTCTTTGGTAAAAGAGTAGCCCAAGAGTTGGCATTGGGTGGTGATGACTAGCTGCTTTCCCTCTAGTCTTACACTGCTAAATTAGGGACAGCTAGTGCAGATAGCCCTTGTGTAGCTTTGCGCGAAATTCATAACAAACAAACAAACAAAACAAATTGCTTTGAAATTCTCAACACATAGGAGTGATGAAAGACCTTTATGACAAATACAGAGAAAGCAGAAAGACAAGTAGTGTTAGTGGTGAAAGTAAGCTGGTCCCGGTACAGTGTACCAGCAAACCAGTTTGTCAGTCATTGGATGTTTTGCCGAATAATAACTGGTTTTACAAATATTGCTTGGTTTCGTGATACATTATTGTAAAAAAATATACTGCACTTTAGGCCTCACTTCCAAGCAGGTGGGGAGCATGCACACAATTTAGGTATTATTATCCAATTCCATTCCCAATTAAAAAATATTTCCAGATAAAGCTTAAATGGATTGTTTTCTGTTAAATGTACTACCTGTTAGTATTGAAGTTTTATGAAGTGTGTGTGTATTGGGGGGGGGATAAGAAATTAAACTTACTTTTACCACTGAGTAAGCAGACAAGAGCACGTTAAAACTAGACTTGGCAATGCAAACAAGAAAATGTTTGTTTCTGACGATATGCACCACAATAAAAACTTTACCATTTTCAATTAACACATAGTCACCCAGTATCCTACCTGGAAACATAACCTAAAAAAGGTGGTCAACTGCAGCTTGAATTAAAGTTTATTTTATCATTTTTAATTAACACATAGTCACCAAGTATCCTACCTGGAACATAACCTAAAAAAGGTGGTCAACTGCAGCTTGAATTAAAGTTTATTTTATCATTTTTAATTAACACATAGTCACCAAGTATCCTACCTGGAAACATAACGTAAAAAAGGTGGTCAACTGCAGCTTGAATTAAAGTTTATTTTATCAGTAGCTTCTTAGGTATCTTTTTAAGAAATAACATGCGTGAAAAGAGAGAGAGAGAAACAACTGACCTTATACTCCACCTCCTGAAACGTGACAGGAAAGGTGAAAGTGGCATCTTCAAGTTCTGTCAGACTACAGTGGACCAAAGTTTCATCCTGAAATAAGTAACTCTAAACTTTTAATGATATATACAGCAATAAAACAACTATTACTATTAAACATATTTATTAATATACTGCTGTATGTTACAGGCCAAAAGTTCAAGCCAATAACTGATTTAATAATGATCCATTATGCCATACCATGGGACACTGTTATACACTGAAGTATCCTGTAAACTCCATTACAGTATGCCTCGAGACAGATCATAGTTTTTCTGGGGCACTTGAGAAACAATAATTGCTAGATCTGGGAAACCCAGAAGAAAATTCTCAGTAATCAGAAATAAAATAATTAATAAAAATATACAGAAAACTCTTGATGCCTCTGGGCATGATGTAAAAAAACATTTTATTTGTTTAAATCAGGACTAATGAGATCGAATAACATCAAAAGAAATCCAACACCGTGGCAATGTTACCACAGTGTTTAAACACAATTAAAAACCAGCAAAATAACTTTCATTAAATTAAGGAAGCCCTACTGAATATTTACCCTAACAAAGCTATATATTTTATTAAACTTTCTCTCATCACCGACTACGAGAGTCACAAAAAATTCAATATATATATATTAAAAAACAACAAATAAGGTAAACTACACACTTACCAAGTCTAACACTAGGGAAAATTCGGGGCTACTTCTAGTTTTCAGTGGAAGGGCTGGGCATCGGGCAAGCATTTCTGGAGTAAGTGGGGGCAGATGTTTGATAAAGTAATATCTGGAGAATTTGAGACAAGCAAGAATATGGCTAAGAAATAACAAAGCACAATGTATAAATGATACAAAATTTGTTTCAACAATTGTTAGTTTTGCTATTCTCTACATACCTCTATGACTTCAGTCTTTTCAAATCAAACAACTATCAAACTTTAAGACATTGTTCAAAAAAATCACACACACACAGAGTAAAAAGCTCCAAAGCAGAAAATAATGATGTGTTACCGTGAAAGTATGATCAGTCTAAATTGGAAAATGTTCTTTGCTTACAGATAAAGAAAATTAATGATTAAGTATTACTATATAAAATTAATCACCACAACAGTAGTCTTCATGAGAAATAAACAGACTCAAATTCTGTATATTCTACATAGAGAAAACTGTTTTAAGGGATTTTTGGAGCTGCACAAACCATAGGTTAAAATGGAGAGCTCCGAGAATTATTTAACATTTTTATTTTTTATTTATTTGATTTTAGGATGGCAAAGTTGATCTTTGTGCATGTCGAAAATGTTAGTAAGATCATACATAACCTGTTATATTAGGTGTTCATGAAACCTTTATTAAAATTGTATCTAATGATACTAAAATCTACATCATATTGTAACATCCACATCCATCATTATACATAAAATGTGACGTATATTTTTAGAGAAATGTTTGTGGTTCTATAGCTGTCCAGTATTTAAAAACAACTGCACAAAATACAATTTCCAAACGCACATTGAACTTTTAGAATTGCCTGAGCTGCACGTTAAAACAGATTCTGTAATTAACATCAAATCGAGATATGAGAATATCATTGGACGTGCAATAAATGACAGGAAAATGCATGTATTACTTAGTAATAACTCTTTTTAGTTATATATAAGTTTACTTCTAAAACGTACTTATCTATATATATATATATATTAATATTTTTATTTTATGGTTCTTTTTTCATAATTCCCATCTCACACTATTTTTGTTCTAAATAAAAACATAGATCAATTAATTTAACTGATGGTGGAATAAGTCTAAGTAAAAACCAATTTACCTTACCTAGAATCTGTTCTACGTCCAATCGAGCTCTATTCGATTTATTCTTTAATTTCTTTTGTGAACAAGTTTTGTATGAAACGTCAAAATTAGTTTGTTTTTTACACCAGACAAATAATTAATACAACTTTACTGTTTTTTAAAAAGTATTTTAATACTTCTACCACATGTTTAGTTCTATAATGCACATTTTTACTTATAATTAATTTTACAGTTGAATGTAGTACTTAGGTCTTCTGTTTGTTTTTACATTTTTACTTTAATTACATTCCAACTATGATACATCTGAATGAATCTACGTTTCAAATGGACAGCAAGTGCCTCTTGTAGAAACCTACAAATGTAGAGGACGACGTTTCGAAAGTCTTCCGCTACATTTGTAGGTTTCTACAAAAGGCAGTTGCTGTCCATTTGAAACTTAGATTCATTATGAATACTCTGCCTAAACAACCTATCAAAGATTATAATACATCTGACCTTAACAGTTCTAAGATCTGACAACCTTACACTAAAAACGTACATATTTCTTTCAATAGATTTATAATGAGCTTACGGATTAAAAGTCTCCCATTCTTCGGCTACTTCAGCTTCTTGAGGTGAGGGGTAACTAGCATTATACACTGACACCTGAATATCGTACTGTGTCGTTTCAGAATGACAAGCCCTGGCTGAAAATACCCCTTGAGTTCCAGGTATTTCACAAGGCATTTCCAGTACTACGGGTAAAAAGAACTAACACATTATCCAGGTATTTCACAAGGCATTTCCTAACTACGAGTAAAAGAACTAACACATTATCCAGGTATTTCACAAGGCATTTCCTACTACGAGTAAAAGAACTAACACATTATCCAGGTATTTCACAAGGCATTTCCTAACTACGAGTAAAAGAACTAATACATTATCCAGGTATTTCACAAGGCATTTCCAGTACTACGAGTAAAAGAACTAACACATTATCCAGGTATTTCACAAGGCATTTCCAGTACTACGAGTAAAAGAACTAACACATTATCCAGGTATTTCACAAGGCATTTCCAGTACTACGAGTAAAAGAACTAACACATTATCCAGGTATTTCACAAGGCATTTCCAGTACTACGAGTAAAAGAATTAACACATTAAAAACTTTTATGTGTTTTTGTTTTCTTCTTTTTCATAAAATGGCTCTTAATCACTTTCATTTGACAATATTAGACTTACAAATCCTAAGACTTATTGACCCAGACAACTTCTTAAGTACTGATCTCCACAACATTATACTTATTGATCCCAATAACATAGGACTTATTAATCCAGACAAGATTATTGATTCTGATAACTTCATACTTGGAACTTACACTTGAAAGAACAGAACTACAAACGACAGACTCCACTTATAGTACGTAAATTGTTGGAAATAATCACAGAAACAATGAGAACAAAGAATATAAATCCCAAATACTCCATGTTGATAGTTTACTTTCTTATTGCCCAGTAGTAGTAGGGTCATGGCTCCCAGGACTGAAATATCACATAGAAATCAATGTTTTGGTTGGTCAAGGATACTGGAAACAACAAACTACAGCAAGACTCCATGTTACAGTTAGGGCTGTACGTACAACTCTGAAAGGGGTATGTGAAACTTGCACTGTCGCCATTCTTAAAGCTGTACGAGCAAACACACGTAAAACTTTAAAAATGCTACCAAACAACTTGGTTAAATTGTGGGAGGTATACAAGATGTTCAAAATTGTACATTAATAAACTGCATGGCACCATGAAAACAAGGTGTACAACAAGTGGTTAACACAGAAACCATGAAAACAACAAGTGGTTAACACAGAACTATGAAAACAAGGTGCACAACAAGTGGTTAACACAGAACCATGAAAACAAGGTGTACAACAAGTGGTTAACACAGAAACCATGAAAACAACAAGTGGTTAACACAGAACCATGAAATCAAGGTGCACAACAAGTGGTTAACACAGAACCATGAAAACAACAAGTGGTTAACACAGAACTATGAAAACAACAAGTGGTTAACACAGAACCATGAAAACAACAAGTGGCTAACACAGAACCATGAAAACAAGGTG